TTACTTCTTAAATGAAGATCAGTAAGATGAGTATTTATTTGACTGGTTAGGTTGGGGTGTTTTATGCTTCAGTTTCTAAGAGCTATGTGCAAGTGATTATTCAGTGAACAATAACTACAGGATTTTTTAGTTTTATCTTCACCAATACAATTAAAGTTTGGAGCTCCAAACTTACCATTTTTGAGTAGAGTTTTTTCATCAACAGAGAGATATGGAGTTACGATATTCGAAAGAACAACTGTGAGTCACTGTGACGACTGACTGAATACCTTACAGTTTTATTACAGTTTTAGTATGAACCAGACTTCAGGGATCGGTTTCTATGTTAAGTACATTTTGTTTTTAATGGAGTCAGAGATTAGCTGTGACATTCTGGGGTCTCCTGAATCAGAATGTGACCGTCTCAAATGGGCCTTTTAAGTTCACTTTAGCATAGAGGCAGGAAAGAGGGTAGATGTGAAGTTGCAGTATATGAGAATTCACTGTAGATTTATTCGCAAATCATTCTCACACACTAAGCCCTGTCCTTTGCAGAAACAACACACTGGTCCATGCTGATACAGCAGGTGCTACATTCAGAAGTGTCAGATCGTGGGTGTTTGTGCTCCCTGAAGCAGGCTCTCACACAGGCTTGTGGATTCTTCTATTACGCTTCAGAACAACAACAGAGTTTTGCAGCTTATGCACTGACAAGTTAAGAGCCCACATCCCTTTCCCAGAAGACATGCCAAGAACTCCTGGTTCACTCATCTCTCTCTCTTACTCTCCCCCATAATTCTCCTCCTCTTCTTAGGTAGTCGCCAGGAATCAGATCCTTACCTTTCAGATGCGACAGCGTAAATAAGAGACAGATGCACACAACAAGCAAGTAAGGAGGATCACACATCAAGAAAACATGCTATAAGGAGTCAGTATACTCCTTCAGGAAGAGGGAACGCTTTTTGGCATGCATTTGTATAGCATCGAGTTCATCAAGTCATCTCCTAGAACATGCCACAGCAGTGCAGGTACGCCCTGTCGAGATAACACTTTCTCTTTGGAAAGAGGAGACCAGATTTCATGCAGACAAATAACCTGTGCTTCTGTCTTGGAGATTAAGCCAGTAGACGAAACACAAGGTTGGAAAAGGTATCAGATAAGGTGGTGAGCATCCTCCAAATACAAACACAAACACCATTTGTTCTGCACAGTACTGCTAAACACAAACCATTACTGCAGTTTACCATTAATACTACAGCCTTGGACCCAGAACATGATTATACTAATATCCCACTGGTTTATGGACTCCCGATCAATTAACACACTAATTGAGCCAGGGGGAGTGACTTGTAAATGACAGTTTCCTCTTTTTTAGTATTTGGCTTTGTTACAGTAGTACCTCACAGTTACCGAAAAGCACTAGTTCATTATGGCTCAACAGTGAAGCAAACCTGAGAAGAGGATCGCTATGTAATTCCAGCCCTCAGGAATTCCAGACCCTGGGGACAAGAGAGGAAGTCTGCAGAAAGGAAGACTCTCCCTTGGTCGAGGAGGATCAGGTTAGAGATCTTTTGTCCAAACTTGACATCCACAAATCCATGGGCCCCGATGGGATGCACCCACGAGTGCTGAGGGAGCTGGCAGATGTTATTGCTAGGCCACTCTCCATCATCTTGGAAAGGTCTTGGAGATCAGGAGAGGTGCCTGAGGACTGGAAGAAAGCCAATGTC